CCTGCATTTTCATTGCGCAGCTCCATGTTTTTCATCGTCACCTCCATGTTTTTCACTGTCGCCTTCAGGTTTACTACTGCCACCTGCATTTTCATTGCCAGCTTCATATTTTTCATCGTCACCTCCATGTTTTTCACTGTCGCCTTCAGGTTTACTACTGCCACCTGCATTTTTCATTGCCAGCTCCATGTTTTTCATGCGTCACCTCCATGTTTTTCACTGTCGCCTTCATGTTTACTACTGCCACCTGCATTTTTGCATTGCCAGCTTCATGTTTTTCACCATCACCTCCATGTTTTTCACTGTCGCCTTCAGGTTTACTACTGCCCACCTGCATTTTCATTGCCAGCTTCATGTTTTTCATCGTCACCTCCATGTTTTTCACTGTCGCCTTCAGGTTTACTACTGCCACCTGCATTTTCATTGCCAGCTTCATGTTTTTCATCGTCACCTCCATGTTTTTCACTGTCGCCTTCAGGTTTACTACTGCCACCTGCATTTTCATTGCCAGCTTCATGTTTTTTTCACCGTCACCTCCATGTTTTTCACTGTCGCCTTCAGGTTTACTACTGCCACCTGCATTTTCATTGCCAGCTTCCATGTTTTTCATCGTCACCTCCATGTTTTTCACTGTCGCCTTCAGGTTTACTACTTGCCATCTGCATTTTCATTGCCAGCTTCATGTTTTTCATCGTCACCTCCATGTTTTTCACTGTCGCCTTCAGGTTTACTACTGCCACCTGCATTTTCATTGCCAGCTCCATGTTTTTCATCGTCACCTCCATGTTTTTCACTGTCGCCTTCAGGTTTACTACTGCCACCTTCATTTTCATTGCCAGCTTCATGTTTTTCACCGTCACCTCCATGTTTTTCACTGTCGCCTTCAGGTTTACTACTGCCACCTGCATTTTCATTGCCAGCTTCATGTTTTTCACCATCACCTCCATGTTTTTCACTGTCGCCTTCAGGTTTACTACTGCCACCTGCATTTTCATTGCCAGCTCCATGTTTTTCACCATCACCTCCATGTGTTTCACTGTCACCTTCAGGTTTACCATTGCCTTCTTCATTTTCATTGCCATCTTCATTGTCAGCTTCATGTTCCTCACTGTGTGCCAAACACCAACAGTTAACCAAATATTTACAAAAACTAGTTTTTCCTGACCCTGCATCTCCTAGAACATATACAGAATTTTGGGGGACTCCGTCCTTTGTGAAGATTTCGGACATTGATTTAACCTCCACCTCCTCTGTCTCACCTTTTTCTCTTTTTATGTCCTTGGTTATTTTTGGTCTAATATAAATGTCTTTAAAACTGCATTTTTCACTTTTTGGTTGTAAAGGTGCTGTAGGAACTTGCAGCAGGGTTTTGTGATACTGTTCAATCAGCTTTTCCCGCCATTCTGTAATTTAAATGATAATATGAAATCCAATTGTTAAGGACTAATTGATGAGTTAATGATACAGAAAATTAGTATAAACAGATTATCACAGGCCCAAACACTTATTGTGCAAAATAAAGACAGTTGAATTTAGGCACACACGCACAGAATATCAGTCAGCCAGTTTTTAAATAAAATTCTCTATTTCTGTTTATATATACTTAACTTTACTTGTCAATCTACTGCTTTCTACTTTGTTTAAAATATGAAAACAAATATCAACAAAAGAAGCATTGCATTCTATAAATGAATAACCCTAAGTAACACAACCACAAAGTTTATCTCCCAGTCTCAAAAGAATTGAAACTGAAACTCATTTTGTATGAAGACACATTCCAAATTAAATCGTACTTCGGGTTTACATTTTTGCTATGGATTTTTGCAGGCCCAAATGGGATTTTTCTCGCCTATGGCATCGAGGTGTGCCTTATTTCCCAGACTGCAGTATATAACATACCTGATTTAGCCTTTACATATCCTGCATAAAATATCCAATTTAGCCTTTTCATATATAACATACCTGATTCAGCCTTTTTCATGTAATATATAACATCATATGTAACATTCCTGATTAAGCTTTTTCATATTCTATGTAACATTACATATTTAGCCTTATAACATACCTGATTTAGCCTTTTCATACTCTATAATATAACATAACTGATTAATTCTTTTTATATTTTATATAACATACCAGATTTAGCCTTTTCATATTTTATATAACAAACCTGATTAAGCCTTTTTATATTTTATATCACATACCTGATAGCCTTTTCAAATTCTGTACAACATAACTGATTAAGCCCTTCCATACACTGTATAACAAACCTGAGTTAGCCTTTTCATATATTATAAAACCTACCTGATTTAGCCTTTTTCATATATTATATAACATACCTGATTTAGCCTTTTCATATATTATATAACATACCTGATTTAGCCTTTTTCATATTATATGTAACATACCTGATTAAGCCTTTTCATTATGTACATGTATATAACATTTCTGATTTAGCCTTTTCATATTTTATACAAGAAACATGGCAATGCCATGAAACCAGGTTTTCAATTATCACCATTGTAGATAAATATGTTGTATTTGAAATACAAATACAAGCAACAAACAATGTAACTATGTGCAATGTAAAACATGAATAATGTAGGAGGAATTGCCACTGAAGAAGTGTTCACTATAATATTATGTATAAGGAAAAAAACAAAGGGCCATAATTAGGTCAAAAACTATCCAATCACAAAACCCCGACAATATGTGCCAGGGTGCTTGATGACAAAGCTTCTGTGAAAGTTTGAACAAAATCCGTTGAGAAATGTAGGACGAGTTTCAGCACAGAAGAATTTGTTCACTATAATTATATTGATAATTCTGTATAATGAAAAACAAGTTACAAAGTAGACATGAAATAATATATCATATCTTTTTTAAATTACCTCCAAAGATGATATGACCTTTGACTGCCAAATCAAGTTAAAATCATGTAAACAGGATTTTCAATGTTAATGTCACTGTGACCTTGACCTTGGAGCCAGCCATGCGGAACATGCGTTCTGCACGTCATCTTGATGTGGTAAACATTTGTCTGAAGTTTCATCAAAATTCTTCAAAGGGTTTGAAGAGTTACAGAGCGGACAGGATTTTCAATGTTAATGTCACTGTGACTTGACCTTCGGAGCCAGCCATGCGGAACATGCGTTCTGCACGTCATCTTGATGTGGTAAACATTTGTCTGAAGTTTCATCAAAATTCTTCAAAGGGTTGAAGAGTTACAGAGCGGACACAATTTCGTTTGACGCCCGAAGTTAAAATCATGTAAACAGGATTTTCAATGTTAATGTCACTGTGACCTTGACCTTGGAGCCAGCCATGCGGAACATGCATTCTGCACGTCATCTTGATGTGGTAAACATTTGTCTGAAGTTTCATCAAAATTCTTCAAAGGGTTGAAGAGTTACAGAGCGGATCAGGATTTTCAATGTTAATGTCACTGTGACCTTGACCTTGGAGCCAGCCATGCGGAACATGCGTTCTGCACGTCATCTTGATGTGGTAAACATTTGTCTGAAGTTTCATCAAAATTCTTCAAAGGGTTGAAGAGTTACAGAGCGGACACAATTTCGTTTGACGCCCGCAGTTAAAATCATGTAAACAGGATTTTCATGTTAATGTCACAGTGACCTTGACCTTGGAGCCAGCCATGCGGAACATGCGTTCTGCACGTCATCTTGATGTGGTAAACATTTGTCTGAAGTTTCATCAAAATTCTTCAAAGGGTTGAAGAGTTACAGAGCGGACAGGATTTTCAATGTTAATGTCACTGTGACCTTGACCTTGGAGCCAGCCATGCGGAACATGCATTCTGCACGTCATCTTGATGTGGTAAACATTTGTCTGAAGTTTCATCAAAATTCTTCAAAGGGTTGAAGAGTTACAGAGCGGACACAATTTCGTTTGACGCCCGCCCATCCGCCCAGCCACCCATCCGCCCGCCATACCCCAATCTAATAACCAGGATTTTCAAAATTGAAAACCTGGTTAATAAAATACTCGAGGCACACGCTTTCTCATACTTGGGGACCATACATGGCTTTTCATGGAATGGCACGGAAGTGTCGCATTGAAAACCGCCACATGAACATATCTACGGATGTTTCTAAATGCAAAATTTTATCATTTTATGTTTAAATGTTGACTTCTGCTTAAGTCAGTGCTAGGAGGCGTGGACGGTAGTTTGCACTTACCAGTATCATCCAAGAACAGGCTCAATCAAACCAAGCCTGCGACAATTTTAATGTTGTCGTTTTGGGCTTTCTTTAGGGATTCTTATTGTTCTATTTTAGCCCTTTTCTATATAGCATACATGATTAAGCATTTTTATATAATATATAACAAACCTGATTTAGCCTTTTTCAATAATATATAACATACCTGATTTAGTCTTTTCAAATTCTGTACAATATAGTCATATTCATAGTCATATTCTATTTAACATACCTGATTTAATCCTTTTCCTATTCTATATAACGTACCTGATTTCACCCTTTCATTTTCTATATAACATACCTGATTTTGCCTTTTTATATTCTAACTGTTTCTGTTGAGGAGAATCTTCTAACTTGAGTCTTTCTATCTCCTACAACATAATTAATAAAACAAATAATTGTGTTTTATTTTAAATAATTTTAGTAATTTTCAAAAAATATCTATTGTATACAGTAATATTGGTATTTTTACTGTGTGCCAATAATAAATATTATCTAAACAAGAGGGCCATGATGGCCCTGAAATCGCTCACCTATATATAGAGTCTATAGTTTATACTTATTTATGCTAACTGTACCCAAATGATACACCCCTTTTTCATTTTAGATTTCTTATTTGCAGTCAGGTCTTTAGTTGCTACTTTTGAAACATGAAGTTATGAAAACTTGCATTTGAGCTTGATCAGTAAAATACAATCTTTAAACTTGCCCATGCGACCACATGTATTAAGCAAATTTTGTCTCAACCGACCAATGTAAACACTCCCCCCCCCCCCCCCCAACAAAAAAAATCATTTCCTATATGTCTTTAATGTATTTTAATGCAACGTTTGCTTGACGCGATAGGCGACGGCTAATGGCTAATTAGTCAGCTAATTGATATTAATCTTTTCATCAAACGACCACTTTTAAATTGTAAAACACAGATTTTACTGCAGACATATTCTAAAAGTGCTCCTACCTGTCAATTGTTTGTGTTTTTAGTGAAAGCCGCCTTGTGATTTCACAAGTGTCAACAATCATAACAAAATACATAAATGTGTGAAAAATTGTATTTCCCAAACAGTTTTAGCATATGCAAATGAAGTTAATTAAAGATGTGACATGTATAATCGAATAAAATCGATAGAACAATGCCCTGTCCTTACTGAGATGGTGTATACGCTTCACTGTTGATATTTTGACTGCATTGAATTGACCTTGAACTTTAATAATCAGCAATTAAATTAATAGTTACAGTTAGATGTAGCTTGAAAATTTGAGAAAATGTAAAACATGTAGGTAACGGATCAAAGCTGTTTTGTCAATAAATATCAGAAAGTTATTTTTTACTTGAACATCTAATGAGATGATCACAGTGTTAAAATCATTAAACATTTATATAAATGAAGTTGAAACTAGAAATGTGTCCATAGGACACGGATGCCCCCACAGCCACTGTTCTGTCAATCTTATGACTCTAGGTCAAATATTTTTTGGACTACATGTGCCACAAGTTGAAAACTAAAAATCAACAAAGAGCCATAATTCTGTTAAATTTGGTCGCAGCAAAAATTCCTTCCTTCACTACCATCTACACATTAAGGTTGTTAATCCCTGGAAGTTTAAGCAAAATCTGCCATCCGGTTTAAGAGGAGTTGCGTTCACAAAATTTCTACATAGTATAAATTGAAAAAATCAAAAAAGGGCCATAATTCTGTTAAATTTGGTTGCAGCAAAAAATTCCTTTCTTTACTGCCATCTACACATTAAGGTTGTTCATCCCTGGAAGTTTAAGCAAAATCTGCCATCCTGTATAAGAGGAGTTGCATTCACAAAATTTCTACATAGTATATAGTGAAAAAATCAACAAAGGGCCATAATTCTGTAAAATTTGGTCGTAGCAAAAATTCCTTCCTTTACTACCATCTACACCTGAAGGTTGTTCATCCCTGTAAAGTTTTAAGCAAAATCTGCCATCCGGTTTAAGAGGAGTTGCGTTCACAAAATTTCTACATAGTATCTAGTGAAAAAAATCAACAAAGGGCCATAATTCTGTTAAATTTGGTTGCAGTGAAAATTCCTTCCTTTACTACCATCTACACATTAAGGTTGTTCATCCCTGTAAGTTTAAGCAAAATCTGCCATCCGGTTTAAGAGGAGTTGCGTTCACAAGATTTCGGGACGTACGGACTGACGGACGGACGGACGGACAAGTGCAACGCTATATGCTCCCACATTGTGGGGGCATAAAAAACATCTCCACCGCAGAGGAAAGATGACATAGAGGATATTTGTTTAGTTTAAAAAGACATTAAACCTAATACTGAATGAAAAGCGCGCCAAATAATAATACAACGTCACGTCATTTACGAAGTCACGTCATTAAGTTGGTACCCAGTTCTGTGCACTCTGGTATTTCACTGAAACAAGGTAAGGGGCTTAAATTAAAAACAGTGAAATTATCAAAGTGGTAATTTCACTGTTTCAAACAGTGAAATTACCAGTTTTTATATCACTATTATATTTCTATAAACCACCAAAAAGCATGTAATAAACGTATAAAATTTTCCTTTTTTAGTCTTAAGAGACTGTTTTGTTAAGTGACCATTTCTAGAAGGTTTAACAATATAGAGGTATAATTTATAGGTCCTCAGTATTAAAAGAAAAAATTATAAACATGATACTAAGGCATGGCTCTATTTGACCCATGTTAATGATTTTCATAACTTAGGCAATGCTTCATATTAAATACGTATCACTTTAGCCATGTAGCCTAAGGATAGGCCATTGATTTCAAAGGGGCATGATTAATTTTACTTTTAGAGAGGACTATAAGAGGATCACTTCTTCACGTTGTTCAAAATCTTTTTTGTTGTTTTGGCCCATATGTTGTTAAAAGGAATTGTAGATAGTCAAGCTCAGTTACAGATCAAAGTTATCTTTAAAGACGTTTTAGGAGTTTTATACATATATAGGCAAAATTATAACTGTACAATAGAATTCCTTAAAACTTGGCATATTCTTTAGGCTATGATTAAGCTAAACTGGAACCATCACTGAAGATGAGTAAAACCCCCATCAGCAACTTTGACTTTTTGAAAATTAAGTAGTCTGAAAAAAATATTTGAACTCAACCAATAGTAAAGTGTACGATGACCTTGACCTCAACCCCAGGGGGTCGAAATGCATTACCAACCGAGATCTTCATATAAGATGCTATACACCAAAGTTGGTTAAAATATTCCATTCACAACTCTAGTTTATGTCCGGAAACCATTTTTCTATTTTTAGTCATGGTGATCTTGACCCCAGGGATCCAAATGCAATACCAGCCTGGGTGACCGGTCTGCATATAAGCTTGCTATACACCAAGTTTGATTACAATACCTTATTCCAAACTCTAGTTATCGTCCATAAACCATGATGTGGACCGACCGACAGACGGACAGACCGACCGACAAGCGGACTGCTATATACCCCCTTCTTTTGTGGGGGTTATAAAAATGGGGGCCACCATCCTTGTTATTGAGTTATCTGCTACAAAATTAGACTTGTTTGCTTATATAAAGAGCACAATACCTACTTTTTGCTTAATTTATATAGTTTACTTCTGTTTAAGTCAATGTACAAAATTTCAATAAAGAGTAGCTTGACTTTTTTCCACTCTTTGTGAGATTTTTCTTAAAACAATAACCTATTTTTTTTCATTAAAATTGAAAAAATAATTATGACAGAAACAAGAGCTGTCACCAAAGTGACGAATGCCTCAAAAAGGTTTCTTAAGCATGTAGGTATTATGAAAAGAAAAGAGAATGAAAGTAACTAATTGCTGAATATTGTTCTTTGCATTATTGTACCTGTAATCTCTAATTGTGATAGCATGATGCTTCAAAATAGTGTGCCCTTGACTTTTGAAGAAGGGACCAAGTTCCTGGACACAACAAAATGTTGTTTTGAGATAAATATCTGTGCCAAATTATTTCAAAATTCCTCAATGCATGATAAAGTTACAGTCTGGACATGATTGTTGTGTAAGTGGGGACACACAGACAGACGGACATGAGCCTTAGCCGCGACACATTGTCTTGATGTGGTAGACATTTGTGCCAAGTTATTTTAAAATCCTTTTATGCAAGACAAAGTTACAGTCCGGACATAAATGTGTATCCTCAAACTCTTCTCAAAAAACAAGTACCTTCAAACTATAAGTGTGACCTTGACCTTGAAGGTAGTGGCATGGGTCTTTGTTGCCACATATCCTCCAATGCATGACAAAGTTACAGCCCGGACATGAATGTGTGTACCTATAAACTCTAATTGTGATAAAGTGTACTTCAAAATGGTAGTGTGACCTTGACCTTTGAGGTAGGGACGTGGATCTTAGACGCAACACATCGTCTTGATGTGGTAGACATTTTGCCAAGTTATTTTAAAATCCCTCAATGTATGACAAAGTTACAGTCCGGACACGAATGAAGTGGGGACGCACAGACGGACGGACGTAGTTGTATTGGAATACATGTACTGGTATATCAACCTGAAACAAACAAAAGGAAAACATTTTTTACCTGTTTTTGCTCTGTTATAACTGCCTCAAGTTCAGTAAACTTTCTTTTCTGTTCTTTCCCAGCCTCAAGTTGTCCCTCTTTTTCTTTTGCCAACTGTCTTTCAAGTTCAATAACTTTATTTTTAAGCTCCTCATATTCATCTTTAGTTGCAGCATTTTCGGTAAATTCCCGCATTTTTGTCATTTCATCTTTGATTTGTTTCAAAATTTCTTCAGAGCATTCAGTAGTGATAACAAAGTCTTTTTGCTTTAGCTGATGGATAAAAAAAAAAGTTCGATTTTCTTTCAGAGATAAAATGTAGCTATATCATATAGCAACATTTTTATTTCAAAATTACCACAAATGTTTTTTATTTTAATTCTCATACTTTTTCTGAGGGCTTCAAAAATTTGCTTTTAAGGCAGGATGTGTGGTATAGTCATTTGATTGCAAGAATTATCTATTTCTTCACATTTGTTTTTCTTACCTGTTACTAACAAGCTTAGATCCGTATTTTTGTATTTGTAGGTATTTCATTTGATTTCATCAATATAAGTTAACTTAAGGCAGTTGTTACTTAAATTTGACTAAAATGAAGTAACCACTCAAACCCCAGTCACACTAGAGCTTACGATTACTTGCGACCACCGGCGACTTGTAAAACTGACAATCATCAGCGATTGTCAGCGACCAAAACCATTTTTGCACAGATAAATTTACTTTTGTGAGTATCGTAAGACAAGTCATCATTGACAATCGCACGACAGGTCATAAGTAAACGTACGATGGTCTCAAGATTGCCTGGGATTACTTACGACTACCCGTGACATAACATGCGATTACCTACAACTTGTCGTACGACCATCACACGATTACTAAAGACTTCTTAAGATTATCAGTGACTAGTGGCAATTTGTAAAGACTGTCGTAAGATTGTCGCACTTCCGAACGACCATCGTGCGACAGCCTTAAGACCTTATAAGATCACTAGCGACCTGTTTGATCGCAAGGAGGTTTTTGTGCAAGCTCAAAAACCTCTCTACGACTGAAATTGGTCGTGGGACCTAAATAAGGTAACCTGCGACTGTCAAAGATCACCGATGACCGTCGTAAGACGTTTTAAAGATTGTCCGCGACCAGAGGTCACTGGTGATCGTGAACTGGTCTTCACTGGTCGTAAGCTCTAATGTGACTGGGGCTTTAGAGCACTTTTTTATAAATTTAGTAAAATGTGCTTAATTCAAGTTATGATAATTTAACTCTTTAAAGATTTCAAACTTATAATTTATTATGTACACTTACATCTTGGAGTTTCCCGACAGCTTGTTGTGCATCTTGTTGATGTATAAGTTCTTTACCATCTTGTAGAACAGCTATCATGTCATCAATATAACAATTAGCTTTGCTCTCCTCTAACTCCATATTGCTCGAGTGAAAAATTTCGTTTCGGTACTGCCGTACCTAATATAAAGAAAACAAATAATACAACATTCACATAAATACAGTGTTCAGCAATGAGACTAAACACAATTCTTAACCCATTACTTCATATACACGCCTTTTAACGCCTTTTTCACCCCCCCCTTTTGTTGTCTCAAATGATGAAAAAATGCCTTATTTAGGCCCCAAACACTTGTTTTTGTTTGAGAAATGTTGTTAAAAAAAGTGACCTCTTTTTCGACGCGGCCCCCCAACCAAAAGATACATCAGGGGAGAAGGGGGATGTGCCCCCTTCTGTTTGGGGGGTTTGAAGGGGGGCGGAGTCCCCCTCATCGCCAAGAAAATTTTGGACTTGTTAGAGGCTGTAAATGACCCCAGATTGATCATAAGGTAACGTGTAACCAACGCTGAAAAGCATTTGACTCTATCTCAATCCATTGAGAAGTTGCAGCACTTTGAAATCAATTTTGATGGAAAAAATCAACGCAAAATAGTGATTTTTGGCAATTTTGAGATGTCCCCTCGTTGCCATGGTAACAGAAAATTTAAGCCTGAGCATGTTGTTGCAAGGGCAATGGTCCAGTCAACATTTGTGCCAAGTTTGATTAGTGTTGAAGCAGTTTTTATAGTATTATAGCAATTTGAACTTGTAACGGGAGACTTTTCAATGAAAACAGCCATTTTTCACAAAATGCTCATGAAGCAATGGGTTAAGTTGAGAATTAAAACTGTAATAAAGGAGTTAATTTAAAGTACTTACCATAATAATCATTATTATTATTGTGTTTAAACTGCAGATTATATAAAAGCAAAGGGAGTGGAAATGTGTTTTGATAAATCTTATAATTACTTTACTGAAGTAACAGTATTTACCGTAATAATTCTATTTAGCACCCATCCTCTAATAGACGCCCACCCCAAAAAACGGCCACTTTTCAGCCCAAAGTTGAAAAATTAACTGCCCCTTTTAAACGCCCATCCCCCGATTTTGAGTACAATTGAGCTTACCTTTACAATTCAAGTTTCCTTATTTCTGTTTTCACGTAGCAACGAACTTCCCTTTTCTTGTCTTTTTTCCGTAAAGTTTATATGTACACGGTATTTAAATGCCACCACCTTTTACAAAAGTTCCTTTTTATGACGAACGCGGTTCTCCAAGTATTTCGGCACTGATTTCTACAATAAGTCCATCTTTGAATAATTTTGTAAGAGGCTGACATAATCCCTCCGGTATATGTCCAACAAGAGATCCATTATTTTTTACGATAATTGCGCTATCACTATGCTCATTTTCTGGTTCCAAATTACACTGAAGTATAGTTCCGACTGGGCATGTATATTTGTAAACGTGATATCCCTTAATAACAGACTTTATAGACACAAGCATAGGTGTTGCCATAATTCAATGTGTTTTGTGTATAAGATATATATACATGTATAAAAAATTACCATTCCGAGATGCCAAAACTCACGCGCCTATTTCATTACGTCAGCAAGGTCAACGTGCGTGGTTTCAATGTATTGGGGCCCAACATGGGAGATTAGTTCTGATTAAAATTATTTTGAACAATAGACGATTGTCTTTTTATATATCAAAAATCCCGCATCAATCCCTTTAAGAACATATATGCTTGTGTCAGTAAAATCCGTCAGAACTATTCTTACTTTTTTTTAACAATTATATTGGCGGGTAAAAAATGCATAATGATCGGACTCGAAATATTCCATTGACTTTTTGAATTGTATAGAACATCCCAGATTACAGAGTTAATTGGGAACCTTACATAAATATTTCGTTCGGAAAAATCATAATATTTTTGCAGCAAAAATGCGTGAGGCTCATTTTTTATTCCCGTGCTCGGATACCGGACTCTACATGCACGGTATTAAAGTGCGGAAAAGAACAGACTTAAGCCGGTACGTTACGATACCGAAATCGACTTTAGCGTTGTCTGCAATTATAAATCAACATCCGCTCTATCTTCGGATTCGATTTCTTCTTATAGTTATGAGGGGCGAGTGGATTTATAAAGCCTTGCTTAGAAAATTAGTTTGTCTAACACTCTTATGAAGATGAGTCTCCAATTAACGCCCATCCCCAACTTTCGAAAAGTCTATGATTCTAATAAAAGCCCGGGCGCTAAATAGAATTATTACGGTACTAATGTCGCATTTGCTTATAAAGCACAAATAATTACTTCTGTTCATTTTACAGTAAAGCTTAAAATACAAAATATTTTTTGTTTCCCACCCATAAAAATTACAGCTAGCCAAAAATTGTATTGCAAACAAAACATATTTGTGAATACAATTTATGCATAACAATTTTTGAATCATTATTCATAATGTGGCAAACTGTTTCTCTGACAAAATAACTGCATTAACCTCATAGTCACCTTAGTGCAGTAATGGGTAAACTCCTATAAAGTTATATAATAGAGTTTATAACCAACAAAGAAGTTTGTAAAACATGTATGCCCCCTATCGGCAGCCAATTAGTCATGTGATCAGGTTATTATGCATGACTTCTGACCCAGAGTGAACAAACAATTAATAAGGGTTATCTAGTATCTACTGTTTATGACTAGTCACAAGGTAACAAGGTAATAATAATCATTGTGACCCCATAGGTTGTGTGCAGCAATTTAAGTTATTACAAATCTTAACAAATAATATATGCATAAATTTTGTGAATCATGCAGGCCTCATTAATGACAGCCAAGTTGTTACATAAGACCTTCAAATGTGTATACCAAAAGCATTTTTAGTTTAATATAAAAATATCAACTTGAGTTGTTGAGTTATTGGTCAGAAACCGTCATAAAGTACAAGGTCAAAATGACATTGACCCCTTGATCCCAAAATCAATAGAGGTCACCTACTGGTCATGACCAATCACCATACCAAGTTTGAAGTTCCTAGGCCTAAGCGTTCTTTAGTTATTGATCGGACACCGTTTTTACTTACAAAGTCAATGTGATCTTGACCTTTGACCCCAAAATCAAAAGGGGTCATTTGCTGAACATGACCAATCACCATACCAAGTTTGAAGTTCCTAGGCCTAAGCGTTCTTTAGTTATTGATCGGAAACCGTTTTTACCTACAAGGTCAATGTGACCTTTTACCCCTTGACCCCAAAATCAATAGGGGTCATCTGCTGGTCATGACCAATAACCATACCAATTTTGAAGTTCCTAGGCCTATGCTTCTTTAGTTATTGATCGGAAACCGTTTTTACCTACAAGGTCAATGTGACCTATACCTTTGACCCCTTGACCCCAAAATCAATAGGGGTCATCTGCTGGTCATGACCAATCACCATACCAAGTTTGAAGTTCCTAGGCTTAAGCGTTCTTTAGTTTTTGATCAGAAACCGTTTTAACCTACAAGGTCAAATTGACCTTGACCTTTGACCCCTTGACCCCAAAATCAATTGGGGTCATCTGCTGGTCATGACCAATCACCAAACCAAGTTTGAAGTTCCTAGGCTTAAGCGTGCTTTAGTTATTGATCGGAAACCGTTTTTACCTACAAGGTCAATGTGACCTTAACCTTTGACCCCTTGACCTCAAAATCAACAGAGGTCATCTACTGGTCATGACCAATCACCATACCAAGTGTGAAGTTCCTAGGCCTAAGGGTTCTTTAGTTATCACTCGGAAACCATTTGGTCTACGAACTGACGGACCGACAAATGCAAAGCAATATTTATCCTGTCACTTGTATCAATTTCGGCCCGATAACAAGGTGCCGTATATTTTTACTGATCTACGGCACTTGATCACGTGGTATGCATGTTTGTCGGACTACTTTTCAATAAAAACTGTCGTTAAATCTTCGTGTGTAGAATAACCAATTTTGGAAACGTTGATAAACCTTTGTTTGTTCATTTTATTTTACTCTATAATTTTTCAAGCGAAATAAAAATTATTAAAAGTGAAATAAATGTAAAACTTAACTTGTTTGCGATATTAAAATAGCGTACTTGATTTGATTGTTTTGCACGTGCTGTTTGGCGCTACATTGTGACGTCACGTAAACAATACTTTAAACGTCTGTACAGCGTTAACGACTGAATAAAAGATGTTGGTGTTCGAATTCATTTTCTTAGTTAGACCATTTTCTTTCATTCTAGATAGTTTTCACAACATAATTCGACAAAAAATTGTTTTTATTTATCACATTTTTCAAACAAAATGGCGCTCTCAATGTGAAAATACACAGGGAGATAATAAGAACGGCGAATGCATTGTTGTAGAATAATTAGGGCCTTCTTTGTTTATATAGAAACATTTAAGATAGTGTGATTAAATGTAGTTTGCCAAATAACTTTCTTTAAAAAAACGGTGACAGGATAAATAGAATAATAGATTGGTGCCGTGGATGGAGAAAGTTTATCTGGCTCTGCTCCGGAATTTATTGGGTTCGCCTTCGGCTCACCCAATAAATTCCTCCGCCTCGCCAGATAAACTTTCTCCATCCACGGCACCAACCTATTATTCTCTATACCCCCTCTTCTATGAAGTGGGGGCATAATAACTACACTTAGGTAACAATTATCTCTTTTACTTTTATACGCAATTAACAGACAATATTTTAATCTTACAGTAAAGCCTAATACATGTATTCTACAAAATTTAAAATAAACATAATAATTATAGTAAACAAATCTAGTTACCTTTGAAAAAAGATTGTTTGGTCCTGTAACATTGCCTCCAATATGACTATGAAAGTAATTGTTATTTATGATAACATGAAGCAACCCAGTGCAATCAGTGTCGACTGCTGATGTCTTGTCCTTGTACCCCGGAGCATTTATAAAACATTTAATGACACTCCAGGGGTCTGTCGACCACTGTTGGACATCACTGTTTTTCCAAAAAGGTACTGGTGGCATTGATGCATGATACTGTATAATGCTGTCATAGATGGCACCACATACATTGTTTGGACAGGGTCTCTTATTATTAGGAAAACAACAGTTACATTTATCTTGTTTGAGGGGACATATCCCTTTTGAGACTCGGACATGATCTGGCTGGAGAGTTGTTATCTGACAGGTGCCACATGGTATGTTTGGTTGAGGAGTCTTTGTTTGTTGTATTTGGTTTATAATATCTTTGTGCTGCTGTCTTCCAATGTCATCACAAAATGGCGCAAGTCCCTCTTTAAGATAACCCAAGCCTAGGCCAGCCTTAACCCACTGCCGGTATTTGTTGTTCTTTAAATGTATCTCATGTGCCATCTTGATTTCTAAAACAAACAAAAAATATTTTTAGCTACAATTTGTAAGAATCCAAGGAAAACCAACATTAACTATGACTGATCACAAACACTTGTATGCCCTGAAAGCTGTGCCAGTTAAGGGACCATGAACTTTGACTTATAATGAAGGCATTGTTACAATCTCTAGATGGCCATGTTGGCCCTGAGATTTGTTGTTAGAAATGGTCATACCTGTACGAAAAATCAGCATGGCTTTTATGAAAAACAGGACCGATTCCGGCCTGTTTTGAACCAGAATTGGCAAAATCAGGGTGAAATAGACATGGACCCTGAATTTTCAAGAAATCTCACATGGGAATTTAAGTTTTTTCTACCCTGACATCATCTTCATTTTGGTAAAAGTCAGGGTGGAAGCAGGAATATTTGCACTTTGAAAATATTTTGACACAGATTTTACTGACTTGGAGAAATATAAGCAAAATCTACCCAGATATTTCAAAGTTAGAAAATTTTCAAGAACCAGTTTCAATACAGTCCTTAAAAGTTCTTCAATTCCAGCCAGATTTTTCTTAGTTAGAGTTATTAGAAATGAATATTGTAATACACTAATAGTACAGTTTACATTGCTGTTAGACAAAATTGAATTTTTAATGCAGAAGAAAATATATTATAATGTATATTTCTGGAAAGTTTCAGTTGATTTATGGTATACTCCATTTAACAAAACTTCTGTTCATTTACTGAATTATTCCTTTATTATTTTTTTTTGAAATTATGTAGATTATTTAGCTCAACATGATTTATTGTTATCTATAAAATTTATAATTAGTTCTAGTAATTGATTGTTTTCATATTTAACTTATGACAAAAAAAATATTATTTGATGCATTAATTGGTCAGGAATAAGTAATGTACAAGATTTTTAGTTTATATCCATCATCTCACAATCTGCACAGAATCTCCTACTTCTAAGGTCAGCTTCCAGTTTATATAAACAAATAACCTTCAAGTGGAACTTTATCCAGTTTTTCAAAATACTTTATGTTAAACTGGGCTATCTGGTAGATGAAAATAGAGAAGTTACCACAGATTGACCGACAGCGGTTTAAAATGCCGAGCAAATATCACACCCTGAAAATTATTTCCAGCATGTTCATTTTCTTAAGAAAGATTGGAGGCTTTAGTTGTGATTCTAATTCAAATAAATCAACTTACAATTATATATTAATACATAAATGAGTTTTGTTAATTACATAGAAAATGAGATTTAAGAATTCAACTACCCCAGCTATACAGAACTTTCTTGGGAAATTTATTGTGAATATTATATATAAAATGGAGCATAATAGATGTGTTAAACTTCATTATTCAATTTGTAAAAATGGAGGGAAATAAGCAGCCAATTGTAACAGACAAATGGTAAGTTATAATTGAATTACAGTTCTCAATATTTGTTTATTTTTTTTATAAAATTATGAATTCTGTAAGCTCAGTATTCTGATAAGATTTTAAATAAATTTCCAGGAAACCTGTTTTAAAATATGGAGGGAAAATGAAATCATTCTTAATTTTTCTAAATAAACAATACATTTTGATCATTCCATTTTAGAAAAAAAAACTGAAGTCTTAAAATGTAATAAAAATGATGACATGGTTGATATAATTGTTTTTTTCTACTTCCAAAATTTAGGTTGAAGCTAAATATTTCAGTAACATGTGACAAGAGGATGAAGAAGAAGAAAATGGTGTAGTTGGAACAAAATAATACAATATAGGAAATATTACTGGTAATTTTTTCATTTTCTATCAAAATTAGTTTCAGTTTTAATTATTAAAAGTAATTATTCCTGCAAATTTTATGGAATTAATGACCTCATGAAGTCAGTACATATATGTCTATAATGCTGTAGCTTCTTTAAAATAATTTCATCATTTGATGTTTTGATTGCATTAATGAAATATTATACCTTTAAAACTACACTGTATGGACATATTGTGTTAAATTTCTTTTAGATTAATATATAAATTGAAAGTTGTCTATAGCATATTCCTACACTGCTTTCATATGTTTACAGATTGTGTAGTCCAGATACTATAGTGTGGAATTATGTAATACAGTTGGCAGCTACCTCGTGGAAATATCAAACAAGAATGACTTTTGAAATGTATTTAATTGTATGAAAATCAAATACAGATAAGTGAGAAAAAAAATCTCAATTATTATTTTGTCAAATATCAAAAAGAACAGGAATCTATCTGGGTGGATTTTTATTTTAATTTCAGGGTGGGATTCGCAAAATTTTTGGGCGGGATAATAACAGGAGGAAAAAAGTCTGGCCTGACTTTTTAAATAGAAATCAGGGTGAATTATGGCTCATTTAAATAATTATTTCAAATTAATCCCACCCTGAAATTGCTCTTAATTTAACTAGAAGTAAATCTATTTTTAGAAATCTGTGTGAGTGCAAATTCTGCCCTGGATTTCCATTTCAGGGTGGTATTTTTTCTGGCTCATTTAAATATTTAGTTGAATCCACCCTGAAAACACTATATATTGTATACTAAAAGATCTAAAAATAGATTTCTAACTTCTCTATAGTCAACTGAATAGTAAAACAAAACTGGCTGGGAATAAATTTCTGATCCCATGTCAAATCAGGGTGTAGTCAGGGTAGGCATTTTCGTACAGGTATACAGAAGTAGATATTATTTGGGCCACATTGAGCGGCTAAAATCAATTCAACAATTTCTAGTCACATGGTGGAGTCACGTGGTGGAGTCACGTGGTGGAGTCATGTGGTGTCACATAGTGGTGTCACATGGTGGTGGAGTCACGTGTTGTTGTTGTTGTTGATGCACTAATCTAAGAAAATTCAGTAATTTAACCTTCAAGGTCATTAAAAAGCCCAAGTGTTTGATAAACAACAAGGTCTTGTCCTTAAGTATGTTCTGTTATAATATGAAGTTGATCCCTTCAATAATAGCAAAGTTACAGCCAGTTACAGTCAAAACAATGAAAATTTCAATAAGTTGAACTTCAAAGTCAAGGTCATTTAAATGAGTGAAGGTCAAGGTCTCTCTGTTTATTTTTGAAGGTTATCCTTGAACATTATTATGTTCAAGTTTGAAGACAATCCATTCAAAAATAACAAAGTAAAACAGCCAATAATAGCCAAAAAAAATGAAAATTTCAATAATTTGACCTTCCAAGTCAAGGTCATTTATGAGTGAAGGTCAAGGTCTGTCTGGTTATTTTTAAGGGATATCCTTGAAGATTATTATGATCAAGTTTGAAGACAATCTTTTCAAAAATAACAAAGTTACATCCAATAACAGCATGAACAAGCAAAATTTGGACTTTTAACCTTGAAGGTCAAGGTTATTTATCGATGAAGGTCAAGGTTAGTGTGGGCTACTGAAAGGTCTTGTCCCAAGGGTTGTTGTAGCCAAGTATGAAGACAATACATCAAGAAACTAGAACTCCGCGAGTCGGATGTGTCGCCTTGTGAACAATGTAGTTTAGGGGAAATGGCCAGGACAAAAATGAAATATGAAAAATAACAAAGGGCAATAACTAAAAAAAAAATAAGTGCAGAGCAGCAGTTTCTGAACACTGCACTTCTTATCAATAAGATCTATCATTCTATGATGTTTCAAGTCCATAGCTTTCATACTTGAGGAGAAATGACCAGGACAAAAAATAAAGTAAGAAAATCAACAAAGGGCATTAACTCAAAAATAAGAAATGCAGGGTATCAGTTCTTATGCACTGCACTTCTTTTTAATGAGATCTATCATCCTATGAAGTTTCAAGTCCATAACTTTTATATTTTCAGAGAAATGGCCTGGACAAAAATCAAGTATGAAAATTAACAAAGGGCCATAACTCAAAAAATAAAAAATGCAGAGTACCAGTTCTTGTGCACTGCACTTCTTCTTAATGAGACCTATCATCCTATGAAGTTTCAAGTCCATGGCTTTTATACATTAGGAGAAATGGCCTGGACAAAAATAAAGTATGAAAATTAACAAAGGGCAATAACTCAAAAATTAGGAAGTGCAGAGTACTGGTTCTTATGCACTGCACTTCTTAATAATGAGATCTATCATCCTATGAAGTTTCAAGTCCATAGCTTTTTTAGTTGAAGAGAAATGGCCCGGACAAAATTAAAGTATGAAAATTAACAAAGGGCAATAACTCAAAAAATAAGAACTGCAGAGTACCGGTCCTTGTGCACTGCACTTCGGGTTATTGAAAGAAGCATGCATACCAAGTTTGAAGTCAATCAGACTTATAGTGACTGAGTTATGCTCCGGACAAGCTTTAGCCGACGACGACGCCGACAACGACGCCGACACAGACGCCGCCGCCGACACCGCCGACAAAAGTAACCCCTATATGTCACCTTTTCAAGGCGACACAATAAAAAAGTTATGATCCAGGTACATGTTTGCGGACGGGAACGGCAACGGCAACGCCGCCGTGACTATAGCAATACCTCTACTTTTTTATCAAAAAAAAAAAAAAGTTGAGCTAAAAATGAAATAATTATATATACGAAACAATCCAATTTTGAAAATTAGTTTGTAAAATAAAAATCTGATACATCTAAATCAATTATCATTATACTTTGAACTGTCTTTTGATCCGAGATTCATTATTCAGAAATGTCTACATTTTAGTCTATGCCCATATCTTAGCAACACTTAAAAATTGATGTAAAACATAAAATTGTTGGGATAAAAAGAAAGCTAAACATTCAAAGCATTAAGGAACATTTTGGGTTTGTTCAAGAAAAGGGGGTTGTAAACTCAAACAAGAGCTGTCAGTAGGACAGCAATGCTCGACTATTCTTAGTGCTTGATCTATAGTAAAAAACGCCTTGTTTAAAAGGTAAAATTTTCTCAGTAAAGAAAAAGGCAAATTTTTTATTTTAATCTATATTACAGTTATGGACATTGGAGAGAGTCCTAGAATGCTCTCAAAGAAGAGTATAAAATTGCAACATGTTTCAAAGCCATATGTCAATGGACTTTGAAAATATTTGAGGTATTACAAAAACTGTAACA